GCAAAACTGGATGCAGCTCTTCACCATGATTTGAGGAGGCTTTGATCAGTCTGTGTGCTTGCATGTAAAAGAAAGCAATGATGAAGTAAGAGGCAGGTCTGGAAGACAAGAGGTGCCTAGAGAAGTGGTTGGAAGTGAATGCAACAAACTTAAAGACCAGGATGAGAAAAACAGGGTAGTTTGCCTCTGCTCAGACCTGCCCTTAAGATATTCAACAGTGCTTGGACAGAGCTCTTTCCATCCTTTCCAGTTTGCTCCTTCCAGTTTTTTATTTTTCCTTATTTTTCCTTTCAAGATTTAGGATTTTCTAGTGACCCACCCTATTGAGACAAATTGTTTCTTAGACTAATTAATGCCTTAAGGATTGTCCAACAGGTTCAGAGGAGGAAAGCCTGAAGATCTGAATTTTTTCTCATGGTATGCAGTTGGGCCCACTTAATTGTTCTCTACTTGCCAAGCTTTATTACTGCTTAATGAAGAATGTGTGTGATTCCCTGACACTCGCTGCATACTCCATAGCTTAATTCAAGTCATATGCTCTGGCACTGACTCAACGTAGCTGCATGTTGAACAGTACACTCCTGTTCCTTGTTAGCAAGAGATACCTGGAAACATGCATTAAAAATAGTTCAGTCTTAAAAGATTTGGGCAGGATTACTGTTATCCTTGTTTATTTTGGTATTGCTGGGTTTACTACCAGGTGATGGTATCACAAGTGCAAAAACGCTGCATGTCAACCTCTTAAGTCCTGGACTTGGCAAACACACCAAGAAATGTGACAGAAGTCATCTGCCCAAGGCATCCTGTTGCATAATTGTCTACTGTGAGTTTTTTGTGCATCTCTAGCATCTTAGGGAAAAGAAAACCACTGAGTTTTGTATGCCAATGACCTATACAGCTCTTCCTCTTCTTTGGAAAACTGTAAAGGGAGGCAGTATTTTTTTCCTCTGATTCTTTGGTGGTTCCCTTGCTTTGTGAACACTACTTCTTTGAGGCACAGGATTATTGTAATACAGCTTTGTCAAGCCTGTTACGTGTTGGCTTGTGTATCATGGAGTCATGACTTATGGACTCGTGGAAGATGCAATTCGAGCAGCTTTTATAAAATTTCACTTACAGATTAGTTTTTAGAAATGTATCATTCACCTGTTTTGTTGAAATATTAACTACTGCTTTTTAGGCACTGTCATTGTTGCAGTATGGCCAAAGGTCAAAGTAAAACAAGCCTAATTATGTTGCAGAAGAGCTGGTGTAATCAATCCCCTCCTCCCATAAACACTTTGCAAGATCAAGAATATATCTAAACTTCTCTTATCCACATTATGTGCAACACTCAACGTGAACCTCTTTCCATGGCTGAAATTCTCCATTCTGCTTCCTTATTACTTCCTTATTCTTTTTTAGTCATGAAAATACCTTTTAAAACTTTATAGAGAGTATAGTGAGTGCGTGGCAGAATGGAGGACATGGTCTCAGCTTCCTGAGAGAAATGCTGTCTCATATGCCAATTTACATTCTTAAATTATTGTATTTAGCTGCTAGATGGTCAGAAAGGTGCAGGTGAAAGGGCAGCTGTCTGTCTTAAACCTTTTGCCCCAAGCCTCTTGACATCTGTTTGAGGAAAGGATACCAGCTCTCTTAGTAGCTAATCTGCTTGCATGACAGGTAAAATGTAAGCCTGATTCATCACTTCTTAAATTACAATTTTAATGTTGGTGTTTCTTGGGTGGACTTCATGCAATAAATATTGCCTTTGAACTGTGTGAATAGAGGGACTGTATTGGAAATTACCACAAATGTTCAATATTCAAAGCAATTGTCAGCCCTGGTTGCCTTGCCTGTGCAGACAAGGGAGTGTGCCCCCTGGCAGGGAGCTTGCCCACAGAGCTTGTGGATTCCCTCTTCCTGGAAATGTTCAGGGCTGGGTTGGATGGGACTTTGAGCAAGCTGGTCTAGTGGAAGCTGCCCCTGCCCATGGCAGGGGGGGTGGAACTGGGTGATCTGTAAGGTCCCTTCCAACCCAAACCATTCTATGATTTGGTATTTTAATCAGCTCCTCTTTACATGCCATTTACTTGAGTTCTTTGCTGCATAGAAGCATCTGCAATATTTGCCTCCAGCAGGTAAGTGAATTTGTCTCTCTTTTTGATGAGGAAGAATGCCACTATTTAAACTTATCAATTTCACAATGAACTTAAAAAAAAGCAGCAGCAGGATCTGGATCAGTCTGAAATGAGTTTGACCATAACCTAGCAGGAGTTGCAAAAGAACTGGAAGACCTTTCTGAGAGGCTCTTTTTGTTCCCTGGCTCTCATATTAAACACGCACTTGGAGTCAGATGAAAGTGCTGCAGGAAGATGAGCGTTGTGCTTACCACAAGATTGGCATAATGGAACAGTAATTCTCTGTTCCTTCAGATAAAACCTGTCCGTTGTGCCTCTTGCTATTGCACTTGAATGCTGTAACTGCTTTTTCTGGCACATTTAAAATGTACTCTTGTTCTTATCTGTGTCAATTACAGCTTCAAAGTCTACCTCCATCTATCATCCATTATTCCTCTCCCTTAAATTACCTGATTGCTCCCCATCATCTTCCACTTCAAGAATAACTTTTTCAGTCATCCCCTGAGAGTCTTGCTGGAATGGACTAAATCTCAGATAACCTCTCTTGTCCTGCCTCTTTCTCCTTGCCAGTGACAAATGCTCCCAGCCTGGTGTGGTCCTGCTTGTGTATGCAGGCTGCCCCAGTGCATCATAAAACACTGATGTGATGAGCTACCTTCCTGTCCATGCCTCTTTCTGCTACCCTGCAACTGTGTGTTAAATGAGGGGTTAAGGGAAATTGAGTTAAATCCTTCATAGACAGACAGGAGAGGAAATTGGGCGTAAGAGAACACTCGATTTTAAAGCCACCTTGTTAGAGGAGTGCTATCCATGACCATGTCTGTAGTACAGCACACATTCTGAGTGATTTCTGAATTGTAAGAGCTGATATGTAAGCTTGAAAATTCTACTGAATGTAGTTTTGCCAGTCTGCCAGCAATTAAACATTTTGACTCGTATAATTAAAATAATTGCTCCTACTTGGGAACCTGTACTTTGTAGGTTTTACTCACTCAGAACGTGTGTTTTGAAAAGTGGATGTGTTTTTTAATACGTGCTGTACTTTAACTTCATATTTATGCTAAACTAGTCCTTCAAGCATCAAGTTGAAACCTCGGGTATAAAGCAAAGGAAGAGAACTGCATCTTTTCCCCTCCTGGTGCAAGTGCAGCACTGAACTGACTGCTGGGAGGAGGCAAATGAATACTGCTGCATGCAGGAGCTTAGCAAATCCAAACTTTGACTGGTAGAAAGAAAAACCTTTATAAAAACAAGGTGCTTATGGAGATCTTGAATAAATACCTGTCTGTAATTCAGTAACCCTAGGCAGTGCATGTCAGCTCCTCCTGTGAGTTCTGAGTGGGTGGAGAAATGCTTTCTTTTGAGTCTTTTTTTGTTCTGAGCTATTTAACACTTAGAGATTAAAACTTGGAACTCAAAGCTTGGCTTGTAGCACCTGTGTTCAGTAAGTTGTTTTAACTTCTCCCATGATTTAAAGGTTTGACTATCTCAAAAGCAAATTATAGTATTAAGTTATTACTGAGGTGATGAAATCAGAACTACAGGAATCTGGGAGAGCTTGGGAGGAGAAAAGACCAGACAAAAAAAGATCCTTTTGAAAGGAAGAGCAAAATAGATGCAGTAAACCCACCAGGGATAGAGGCTGAAGGAGGGCATCAGCAGGAGGGGAGTGCTCAAGATTGTCCCCAAGCTTGGCAGAGCAGTGTGGTGGGTCTGGCTGAAACAGCTGCTGTTGTGATGTGCTTTACAACCCAGACGTGCCATCTTTTCTTTAGGGCTCATTTTTAGGTTCACCACATAATGATCTGGTTTATGCTGTAGCCCACAGAGTTTGTTTCCACCACTGGAGGAGCAGGGGACTGCAGAGTGGGGACTTACTAGCCAGTGTTGCTGCCAGAGGCAGCATCTCCTGGAACCACACCCCGAGGGGCTTTGTCCTGGGGTAGGAGCTCAGTCTGTGCACAGGTGTCAACATGCATCCCTCTAGTGCAAACATGATGTAATCTGACTTTAAAATAAAATGCTTTTTTTTTCCTCCAGAGTCCTTACACATTTTGGTTGACATAGTGCAGTATGTACATCTGCTTAGGCTTTGTCTATGGCCCAAAGGGTGGGGAAATACAGGAAAAGCTTGTTTTACTTGGTTGGAATGTATTTTCATAACTTTAATGCACAGTGGAAGATATTGTACCATTCTACTTTTGTGGACTTCAAGAGCATCATAGGATGTGGGAGTAAGATGCAGATGCTCTGGTCTTGTGTACAGAGTGACGATGGTTGCTTATGCTGTATATAGCTTCATTAGAAGTTTAAATATTTAAATGTCAATCCTTAAAGCTATATTCCTAATGGCTTATTTTTGCTCATGGTTGCTTGAGGAATATCTTCACCATAAGATAAAATGGTTACTGCAAAGTAACTGGCAACTTCCAAAAGTCTAAACAGAGATGTCTGTGGCCAGTGAGTAAGTGGTAATGGATGAATCATCTTCCTGGCATAGTATTGGAATATCCTATGCTGTGTCTGAAATGGAACCTGCATTAAACTTCCCAGAATTTGTCAGGCTTGTGCTTGATGCTCTGAAGAGTGCAGACAAATACTCTGATTTATTCTTCTCTGGCTTCATGTAGGACCACAAACTGGAGTACAGTTAAGCATCGTTTAAATGTGAGGAGTAGCTGCATTTCAATGGCAAGTCCAGAGGTAGGAGGGAGTGTGGAATAAAAGACCCTAGGCTAGGCAAGGACAATGGAAAGCATTAAACAGGAAATAGGGTATATGGTTAAGGGGGGAGGCCCACAATATCCTGAAAAATGCTATTGAAATTTTTAAATGCTTGCTTTTTGTTGCAGATTAATCAGCCACTCGATGGGGATTAACAGTGGAGCACCTCTTTGTGTCGCCTTTCCACCCCTCTGTAGCAAGAATAACAACTTCAGCACTTCTTCAATAATAATTATGAAACTGGTATTAACTGAATGGCAATTATGGATTTTTAACTCTAACTCACAGTAAACCAGCAAGCCATATGTTGAAATTCCTACCAAATAGCTTTTTGTTCTTAATGTCTTGTATCTCTACAAGAAGTTGCAAGATACCTGTTTGTACAAGAGGAATATAAGCATTACTTGCCTGAGGAACAGAAGCTGAAAAAGAAGACACCCTAACTTGTTTGTGGAGTTATGGTAGTATTATTTATATAGATACAACAAAGATATATATATATTTTTTATGGTAATGAAAATGGCTCCCCAGAATGCTGACTCGGAATCTATGCAAGTTCAAGATCTACCTGTGGCACAGCTTCAGAAACCAGAGAGCAAGGAGAATGAAAGTAGGGAGGAGACCATTAGTGAAGGCTCCATAGACCGGATACCAATACGCCTGTGGGTGATGCATGGTGCAGTCATGTTTGGCAGGGAGTTCTGTTATGCCATGGAGACAGCTTTGGTAACACCTGTATTGTTACAAATTGGTGAGTAGCTCTTACTTCTGTTCATCAAAACTGTCTGTTTGCATTGACTGAAGTCAGGGGAAGAGGGAACTGGGATCTGCCAACTGAAAATACACAAGGTAAAAGATTTGGTGGTTTTATTGGCTGTACCACTCATTCAGTTGTGTGACCGTGTTTAAATGGGGAGGATTTCTATATGTATTCATCTGCTGTCTAATATTGCTTCCCTCTGTAAAAAAATTTCACCTGATTTAAGTCTAAAATTCTTTACTAAAAGGTAAGTATCCTCAAGACAATGTTAAAGGGTTGCAATGAAGCATTTTTTTCACTTAGGGAGAAAAGCTTCAGGTTACAGTACTTGAGAATAAACAGATAAATTGTCTTTTCCAGCTGCTAGCAAAATATTACATGTATTTCAAACAACTAGTGAGTCTTGTTCTGTGACTGTCTAGTTTATAACACGTGAATACATATGAATAAACTGACATCAATAGCTTTCAATAATGATAGGGTAATGGGCTTTAGAATAGGAGTAGACAGTGTTACATTTCATGGTGAGTACTGTAATTAGGTTTCCAATAAACTGCTTAAAGTATTAGAGTATCTGGCATTACCTTTATCAAATCCAGAAAATCGTGTTCTCTACAGGATGTCAGAAAAAGCTGCATCAAACTGAATGGAAGTACCAGACCCAGCTTGATTCCATGAGTGAATAAATCCAAGGATGTGTGCACTGTATAATTGTGTGTATATATGTATATTATCTTTGCTTAGGCTTATACACAGAGCTGTGCCTTCCAGCATGCTCAGCTGTGGCCACACAAGCACTCAACCAGCTCTCTAAAATAATATTCACTGGGTACAGTTTACAACATTGTTTAAAACCTTCAAGGTTCACATCTCAAAACATCTTTTAATGTTTCATGTGACAAAAGGGTGTATGAGGTTGACTTTGAACATGCAGTGTACAAATTCTTTCATGCAGTTTTCTTGCAGTTAAAAACATGTTTTCAAATGGAGTTACTGGTCAGTTCATTTTGAATCAATAGAGGGGTCAATGATCAGTGCAGTTGGCATAACTCATCATCTCTCATGACACCTTCAAGTTTTCCTGACAATTTTCATTTTCAGAACTCATCAAACACCATTTTTGGATCTATTAGTGTCTTAGTTAAAATGGATTATAGGTGTTCCCCAAATAGGAGCTTTCTGGTTTAACCTGTCTTACTGAATAAAACAGATGCAACTTCATCTAGGAATGTTTGTGTCCATAACTTGTTCTGAGGTTTTGCCTTTTGGGTAAGTTGAGATTTAGAGACTTTAGTAATTTATATTAGTAGTGTTTGTTCAATTACTGTCTACTGTGAATGCAAAAAAAAACTTGCATCCTCGTCTGCATGGAGAAGAGCTCCAGTTCTGTAAGTGACCTGTAGTTTTCCTTTTGCTTTCTTCTTTCTGCTGATGCTTGGATGTTTAAAATATATAGCTGGTTAAGCTGACTTCATCTAAGGTCAGACAGTATAATTAAACCATCTCCTTAATTACTGACCAGTCTACTAGTTTTTCTTCTGTGAGCTCTTCCAGCAGATCTGTTTCCTCCAGATAATTAATATCTCTTCCCTTCCTTCCCTAACCCCAGTGATCAAAATAACATTGGGATTTGGGGGAAGGGAAGAGCTCTCACTTTGAGAGAAGCTGGCAAATCAACAAAGTGATGCAGAAGGCTGTGGGGAGGGATGGAATGATGTTCCATGCCACAGAGATAAGAAATAAAGGTAGCTGGTTACAAATGGTAGTGCTCTGGGAACTAATTGAAATCTTTCATCCTCTGGCTCCTGTTCCCTCAGCAGGGGAATAAACAATGCTGGATTCATTGAAGGGTTAAGTTATTCACGGGTGACTTATCTAGCCTGTTTGGTAATTACCTCTTACATGGTTCTGTTTACCTTTATCAACCTCAACATCTGTCTGCCTCAACATGAGCTATATTTATTCCTCACTGGAGGGGGTTGCATATAGCTGTTGAACTGCTGTAATATTCCCTTTGCTTCTTTTGGTAAAAACATTGTTTTTTTTCTGTGATTAAATTAACTTGAGAAATTATTTTTTTAGAATTGGCACCTGGGGACATGTAGTGACTCAGCCCACTAACTTTGCTTATAATAAATTGAAGAGCCAGAAGCCTTTTGGGTATAAAATACTCTTCCTTACAGATGTATGTTAAATAAGCTTTATGGTGTGTTCCTGTGTTCTGCATCTCAGGGGAAACTTTGGTCACACATGAAAAGTTTAGGCACATTAGTATGATGTTACACACTCTCTGCTTGCAGGTATTTGATTTTCCTAACTCTTTCTGTACCCTGGATTGGAGGTGTAGCTTCAGCCTGGCAGATGAACAACTGGTCCTGCTTGTTCTGTAAGCCATGAGATTTCAGCAGCTGAAGGTGATAGTCCTTTGGGTAGTCCCTTGCCAATTCAGCAGTGGCTGGATTCTCAGTTTGTTTAAATTTCCTGAAGTTTTGCACTTTTAACAAAGCTAAAGGCAGCAGTGAAAGCTGCATGGATCAATGGGTATTATGAATTGGAAAGGTCTAGAAATACATGTTGCTGTACCCTACCAATATGAGCTCTGATTTGTGACTCAAATCGCAGTCTATGCTTAGATTGTTATGTTGCCTTGTCAGAAATGTAGCTACAAATCTCTAACAGCCTTGTAGTCATAACTGGGTTTTAGTAGCTTAGCAACAAGAAAGAACAAGCCAGATATATAATACATGGGGGTTTTTTTATTCTAACTTGCTCTTTGATTTCTTACTATCTACAGCTTAAGAATTCAAAATGAAGCAGCTAATTTGTTCAGAAGGATTCAGAGGATATAAAAATATAGAAATATGAGAAGTGGCAGGCTGACTTCAGATGAAATTTCACTGGTTGGCACTTCCACAAGTTTTGATCTCTAGAAATCTTCATTAACCTAGTTTTAGAGACCTGTTCAAGCAGCAGATCCTCCCAGGTAGCATTAGAACTTTACTAGAAATAAACTGCCAGTGCTTTCAGCACTCTAGTTTTACTTGTTCATCAGCCCAAGGTGTTTGAGAACTGGAGTGTTTTCATGTTACTCTTGAGTGTCTGTGTATTAACACTAATGTTTGCTTCCCCTCATGTATTACAGGCTCCATAGGAGCAGGATGATGCTTTTGTCCTCTGAAACATCTGGTATTTAGTGCTGCTTCTCTTCTGTGAGAGGGAATTAAAATCCCTGCCATTGTTTATAAATGCCAATATATCTTCTTCCACAGTTAAACTTGGCTTCTAAGGATTAAACCTCTAAAACTACTTCCAGTTCATAAGAGTTCAGGGAAAATTTGGATACATTTTAAATTTCTTGAGAGGGATTTTCAGCAAATAAAAATGAGGAGAAACTGAGTGGTATGATGTAACTTGGAGACACCTATTTTTTTTTTGAAGAAACCTGTTCAATGAAATCACAATACATGATTTCTGTTACCAATACTTTAAGTCATTAATGAATAGCATAATTTGGTCACTTTAGATTATTTCAGTTATAATTCAAGACCCATCTGGGTTGTAATGCAACCAGTTAAAACCGTTTCAGTTCTTCTGAAAGGTGGGATCCGTGTGCCTAAAGAAGAAAAAATGAATAAAAATCTGTGTTCTGTGACTTGGGGTGGCTGCTGCTTTCAGCATGAAAAACGTGCTGTCTGACTAATGAGTAGTGGTAGCTGTAAACATGAGGGTTCACATTTTGTCTAATATGATAAAAGCTTTTCCAAGCCTTTCCTGTTGCTACAAAGGCTCCTCCCAATGCTATTGAGTGTTTTATGAATAGTTAATGGGCACGGAATTGACTGTCAGCACCAGAACTGTTCCTCATTCCCCTGAATAAATTAAATCTATTACACCAGTGCTTTCAAAAGGGAGCTGTGTGCATTCACATAAGGAAACCCACTAACAATTCACAAGGAAAGACATGAACAGTTTACATGTGCTGCTTACCTCTAGTGCCTCTTAAATTTAGGCATGTTTCTCTGGTAGAGTACAGGAGCAGCCTTGATTTTTGTGCATTTTGTATCTGAGTGCCTATCTGTGATGGCATCACACTGTTTTGCTGTGAGAGTTAATGGGCTATTGTAGTAAACATTAGCTAGTATAGCATTAAATATTGAAGTTGGTCATTTGAAGCTTAACCCTGAGCATGGTGTTCTTTTTAGGCAGTACTAAGGAGTGGCACTTCTGCAAACTGTATTTCAATGCTAGTTAATAGACTTTAAGAAGGGCTGAGCTAAGCAGAGGAGGATACTGTAGGTTAGTTTTGTTTGGAAAATAAAGTCTCTCTCATATGCTTTCAAAACAGTAAAATACTGGAGTCATTCATGTCTCATGCAAGGCATGAGACTTGTTTTCTGTGTTACACATGTAGAAATGCTGTTCAGGGGTTTGGGCTGTCATTTCTCAGTTAAAGCATTTAGACATAGTATCTCAGGAAATGAAAATTATCAAATTCTTCCAGCCTAAAGCATACCAGGCCATGCTTAAATGGGTCTCAAAAAACTAGTTCATGTGAAATTGCCAGCGTGGAAAAAGTGTTATGCACTAATTTGGAAAGCTGATTCTGAGAAATCTCCAAGTGGTAGCTGAGAAGTCATTACGCTGAAGAGATTTAAAATTAGAGTGAACTTTCAGTAGGAAGTAGTGAATATTTCCATTGAAATTTGGTGTTGATATCTGTCAATGGACGTAGGTAAAGGACAGATTATGAAGATGGATTTAGAAACCAAGCATGAAATGTTGAGTTAAGTTAGCTTTTAGGGATGTTTCTTCAAAGGAATTAAAGTATCAGTTGCTTACTCAATTCAGCGTGGAAGGGATAGCCTTCCTAAGGGTAAGCCTGAGATCAAAGAAAATCTAAAAACCTTAAAGACCTGGTGGGGAGAAGGGAACAAAGGGATTGGATGAGCTTTTGGAGGCTGTCTATAATTGAAGTGAAAAAAGGCTGACTG